GTCGAATAGCAACTGTTATATAATCAATAAAGGAGTAATTGAAGAACATACTTGGTCGAATAACAGCTGTTATATAATCAATAAACGCAGTGATTGAAGAAACGTACTTGGTCGAATAGCAACTGTTATATAATCAATAAAGGAGTAATTGAAGAACATACTTGGTCGAATAGCAACTTTTATATTATCAATAAAAGGAGTAATTGAAGAACATACTTGGTCGAATAGCAGCTGTAATATAATCAATAAACGCAGTGATTGAAGAAACATACTTGGTCGAATAGCAACTGTTATATAATCAATAAAAGCAGTGATTGAAGAACATACTTGGTCGAATAACAGCTGTTATATTATCAATAAAGGAGTAATTGAAGAACATACTTGGTCGAATAACAGCTGTTACATTATCAATAAAGGAGTAATTGAAGAACATAATTGGTCGAATAGCAACTATTATATAATCAATAAAAGCAGTGATTGAATAAACGTACTTGGTCAAATAACAACTGTTATATAATCAATAAAAGGAGTAGTTGAAAAAACATACTTGTATGAAATTGATGTGGCGAGTTGTAGAAGAATAATAACATTTAAACCGACAGCCCTAGAGACAAGTGACGTTCAAATAGCAAATGAATTTTAGTTCCTGTAAAGGGGCCATGTCAGATTACAACCTATAAACACTGTTGAATACAGAAGCCAAATATAAGTAGTCTTTATTAAGTACGACGCATTTCCTCCTTCTCCCTATCACAATTTTAATGCAATGCCATTGTGATGTTACGAATCCAGCTGCGTACAGTTGCATTAAAGACGTCATTTATGGGAAGTATTGTTTTAGTAGACTGTTTGCTGTTGTCCAAGTGATGAACAATATTGCCTGTCCTTCTAAATAAATTCGTCAGCATTCATACCTTATGCTTGATTGACTAACCTTAGACCTCGCAATCCACTGATACAATTGTTTAGATAACAGATTGCAACAGTATAAGTATAACTGTTTAAAGCTATAACCATTAGTGGTTACAATTTTATAATTACGTAGCATGCCACCTATCAAAGAAATGAATATAAACTGATATTGATTTACTATATACTCATACGTCAGTCACAACTTGAAGAATGTGGAAAATAAAATCACGTTTCTTTCCGTACATATGTATTATATTTGTATTTCAATGTTATTTGAGTTAGGGGTTATTAAAAAAATTAAAAGGTGCATAAATAGTTCTTAAAATTTTTGTTTGGATCTAATCGGTAAATTATGGTTAAACAATTTGGACAGCCAGACTAGCTTATGGTTTGGGATTTGGTAGGATCTACACATAAAGTAGAAGATGGACTGAATTAGGGCTAAATTAGTTCCATCACCAACAAGAAATGTACTGAAAATAATGATTAATTGTTACTCCCACTTCTCTTTCATTCTCTGTGATGATAGAACTCGTCATTAATGTGATACGGCATCAAATCAACACAGACTGTCCTAAAGTTCTTAAGAATTTAATCCTGACATCAGAATTTGATTTCTCAGAATATGAATGAAATGCATAAAATCTTTGTAGATGCAGCTTCTGAAGACAACTAAGAATGGTGTTTATAAATGCAGCTTCTGATAACAACTAAAAATGGTGTTTATATATGCAGCTTCAGAGGACAAC